CAGCGAAGGACTCGAGGAATGTCTGTAGTTTCTCTTGCCAGAACTCCTTCTCTTTTGCCTGGTCGAGGAAAGGAAAATTGCGGACATGGTTGACGAAGATGTACCGCAGGATGGGCAACTCAGAGTCCATAGGCGAAACCTCGCCATATTGTGAACGGAAAGGAGCACCAAAACGTTGGAGGGCCGTTGGACTGGCCAGTTCTGCAATCTCGTCCGAGACCTGACGGGAGATGAGCTCTCGCTTGAGATAATGTTCTTGTTTCCCCGTCAAGAGTTGCCCCTCTGGCGGTACCGTGCCGCTTGGCGAGGTCGGAGCATCGACACTGATCTTGGGGACTTTGATATCACCATTGGCTTCGGGGGCGTCCGCGGGTTTCTCTTGGAGGATCGTGATGGCGTCTTGAGCAGACATTGTAGACTGATGGGGACGAAGGACAGGAGGGGACAGAGGCAAGGAAATCAAGTATTCATCTCCAAAGGATGGTAAGAGTAACTTTTGAGCACGAAAGATTTATTAAATTCCAAGAGCGAACTCTTACGTGGCACTGGAATACAGGGACTGGTGCGCAGCCATGTGATGGGTTATGACTAGCTCGCCGTCAAACGATGATCTCCTCGCGCCCTGACGGTAATGGCTTAGATTGAAGGAAGAATACAAGAAGAATAGGATCACTGGATTGCGAATCCGGTGTCACAGCCACTATTGCTGTCATGGCTGCGCAGCAAGCTTCAAACATGGTCGCGGGGCGGCGGGCATCATAGGCATAGACGGAGTAGTAGGTGCAGGATGACTGCGTCATGGGGCGGAAGGAAGGTGCCCGTAGCCCCAACTTGGCAGGGCGAGACCAGAGTGCCCGGTAACTAGCCACCTTGGTAGTCAGTAGGCGCTGGTGGCACCAAGTGGGGGGGCTCCTGGGGTGTCTCGAGGGGTACGCCAGGTGTCGAAGTTTAGGGGACCCTCGGAGGGTGTGACAGTTCAAATGACACTCGCCCGAGTGCTTCTGAAGCTGCGGCGCTGTTAAAATGACAGGCAAGTGACAATGGCGAAGTTTCAACTGTTCATCGCAGGCATCACCAACAGATATGAGCACATCATCTCTTCGCCTCTAGCTGTGAGGCGGAGCAGGATTGCGAATCAACGGTGATCACCAACTCAGTTTAGCAGAGAAGAAGAAAGGCATCCGCCCTTAGGTTGGCTCCCAGATTTTTATGTATGTGCCCAATGCTTGATACCAGACTGACTTCACACTCTGTGCTCCATACAACTACCAGACGTCTCCTCTGCATGACGGTTTGTGACGGCGACCGGGAAGATCAGTCAGCCTGAGCTCAAGAAGCTCAGTGGTCTGTCTCCTTGACCTCACAAAACATACACCAATTTTTGACCGCTTACTTTGTCCTTCCTCAACAAATCACATCCCTCTAGGACGTTCTCCAGCCCCTTGCCCACCTTAGGAGGATGAACCTTCAAGCGTCCCTGCTCCAGGATACGCTCTACCACGTCAATCCACATCTTCATGAACTCAAAGTCTTTGGTATTGTCTCGACTCTCGAATGCCTTTTTCTTCACGGGATCTCCAGTCGCCGTGTATCCCAGATTGTACGTGGTCTTGACGTCCTCCCGAGGAAACTTGACGTTTAAAATCGCACCATAAGTCCCGCCAGGCGATATCACTTCTGCACAAAGCTGGGCAGTTTTTTCCAGAGAGATCGTGTCCCAGACGTACTTGAGATGGTTCTTGGTGTAATCCTTGATCTTGGCTGCACATTCAGGATCATTGTAGTCGAATGCGGCTGCTGCTCCCAAAGTCTTGACGAGATCAAAGTTACGGGGAGAGCATGTGGTGATGGGTGTATATCCCGCGCTATGGAAGTCAGCCTCCAATCTCTCCAACGGCGTGTCTCACTCACAGCTTCGCAAACTGAATCCCCATTGTGCCGGTAGCTGAGCTTCCGCCGTAGATAAGTATGAATTCGCCTTTCGTAGAAGGTTGTGTAGGGAGATCCAGGCCCATCTTCTGGAATAGTCCTTGCCCACAGGTAACAACACCAACACCTATTGTCGCGGCATCTTCAAACGACATGTGGCTGGGAATCCGCATCTGGACATCAGCCTTCACCGCGATCCGCTCAGCGAACGCCCCGTCCTCGGGCTGCAACTCATTGCTGCCATGGACGAAGCCACAGATTCGATCACCCACTTTCCATGGTTTCGAATAACTAGTTCCTTCTTCTGCAACCACGCCGGCATAATCACAACCGACCAGGAGACCTTTGTGATTCATCCAATCGATATGTTTCCAGTCAGTCGGGTTCAATGCAACTGCCTTGACGTCAACGAGGAGGTATCCGGCCCTTTGCTGCGGGTAGGGACGGTCGGTAACGAGAGATGCCTTTCCAGGCTCACCATCCATCACAATCGCCTTCATCGTGGCGGTCTTGAGTGTTTTTCGTGAGGATGAGAGATGGGGGATGCGAAAAGGCGTTGGGTTGGGATTCAAGTCTTGGGGTAAATGTGCAGGATGCTCTGTCTTCTTAAGCAGGAAGGAGAAACTCCGTGAGACCTGCCATTAGGGAATTAATTGGTCGAGTATCATTCCATCATATCCGTTAAATCCATCAACACACTGGACGAATCTCGGACGGATACTCCATCCTCCGCGACCCCTCAATGTCGGTTCCATGCGGGAGCTGGGCACCAGTCATAGGATCCCATACTTGTCGCCTAAGCCGCTTGACTAGAGAGTATTTGGAATTGGAATAGTATACCTGTGGTATCTGGCTCGCCTTCAAGACGAGAAGCGGCAAGAACGTCGTCGACGTAGTTGGCACTTCCCCAGGTCAGCGCGTATTTTCGGTTGTGAGCGGGGTTATGGATAGTGACCTGGAGATTAGCATGATATGGACTAGGGAAATTTTGATTTCAATTTGTCCGATCTGACATTTGTCGTGACTAGGGAAGCAGTTATTGCATCTATTACTTGGCTTAACTTAGCTGAGTGTTTGGTTAGCACAGACGGTAAGTTGTTGCGCCGGTCACCATGAGTCCCTATCTAGGCCATATCGCCACTCCGTATAATCCTTGTCGGGTATGAGACAGAACAATGTCGGAGTGTAAGAGATCCACTAGACTTCCCTGAATGCCATAATGGCATCCATTTATGCCCAGGTATGCTCGTGCATAGAAGTGACGCTGATGGCAGATGAGTAAACCAATAAAGGACTTTGGCCATCAAGGAAGACAAGCAAGGACAGGTAGATCTAGGTCGGATCCGAAATGGCAGAAGTCGTAATAAGAAGCAATACGAGGTTCACGGCAAGTGGGCCGCAATGGAGCAGAGCGTAGAGACATTTTTTTGTCGACAAGCTATTCTGCGTGGAACACAGCCCTGCCGAGTGCGGCGAGGCTGGCCAGGGTTTCGAGCAGCCGCCGTGTCCCGGCAACATTCTCCGAACAAAATATTTTTTTCGACAAACCAAGTGTATTGGTAAATGCTTCCTGCCACTTCAGACACCCAGCCATCACTTATCTCTCTACATTTGCCTACTTCGAAACCATGGTTCGTAAACTCAAGCACCACGAGCAGCGACTCCTTCGTAAAGTCGACCTCCTCACCTACAAATCCGATGGTCCTTCCCACCGCGAAGCCGCCGTGCGACGTCGCTACCATCTAAACCACCCCCTCGACTATTCCAAATATAATGGCCTTTGCGGCCGTCTGAGACAACTTGCGCACTTACTGTCAAATCTTGACCCTACAGATCCGTACCGTGTGGAAATGGAGACCGTCATGTTAGAAAAACTACACCAAATCGGGATCCTGAAGCAAAATCGCAGCCAAGGCGCTGGATTGTCTTCGGTAGAAAAGGATGTTACAGTCAGTGCATTCTGTCGTCGCCGCTTGGGCATAGTGATGGTCCGCATTGGCATGGTAGAACATGTGGCCACAGCGCACAAATTCGTTGAGCAGGGTCATGTAAGAGTGGGGACCGAAGTGGTTACTGACCCGGCCTTCCTTGTATCGAGGGGCATGGAGGATTTTGTGACCTGGGTGGACAGCAGTAAAGTGAAGAGGCAGGTTTTGGAGTATAGGGAGAAGTTGGACGACTTTGATTTGCTGTGAGCTGATGAAGAAGTGAAACTCGAGACATGTTCGCGGAATACGAACAACACACGATCTCATCAAAAACGGGAATGGCAGTCTTGAGAGCTCTTTGCTATGCTAAGATCCGAAGAAAGGGTCGATCAGACGAGACCATGCAAAGAGGTATGACACACAACTCGTTGGCCGCCCTAAACACGACACGTCACCTTCTGTCTTCGAGACGGCAACGCTGTACCTACACCAGGTCAACTTTCAGCCCTGTATTATTGAACAGCAGACAGCAGAATCGGTCGCAAACACCAACCGTGATAGCAAAGTGCTGGTTTCCTGGCCACGCAGACACCACCAGATTCGCCATTCGGTCAAACTTGCGTTGTCGGCGCAGGCCGTCCTGCGACTCTCTTGAAGATTTCGCTCATCAACGAGGACTGACGAGCCGATTATTCGAATTGTGCATGGAGATGGAACTGGGGCTAACCCTGGACCGAATCGAGCTTCATTCAGAAGAGATTGGAACAAGAAACCGTGGGGCCGCGATTGCTCTGAGTGAGGTCCTGCATCTGCTTGGCTCAACTGGCCCTCTATGTACAGTTATGTATATCACCTGGATCGCAGAGTTCTCCCAATCTTGTGATGTCATTAGGGTATCTTCAAGCCTTTTTAGGCAGATTTTGTGCACGGCAACTGTTGTCAAATCTTCAAACATATTGACTATGCCGGTTCCAGAAGAACAGAAGAAAAAAGGCAAGAAAATGGATGCCAGAGCAGCCGCCGTTCTCATCAACAATGCAATATGACGCTGCTGCTCAATAGGCATGTGACAGAGCTCGATTCGATCGACGCCTTCCGCGTCATCTGGCCTCGAGCGGGAGCCTAAGGGGCATATCAATGCTGTTATAAGTCGAAGCACGACCACCTTCGAGTTTTCGCCTTGTTCCCTTCCCCGTCCTTAGTGGCTTTGGTTCTGCTTTTGCGACGTCGGGCGTCTCCCTCTTCCACTCCCACCTCCACTTTCACCCTTGATCCGCGCTTCTCATCTTCATATTCGGCACCTTCAGATACCTTGCGCGTGGCATCCTCCTCTTCCCGATGCCCCGCGACACTATCGTCATCGCTAACGTCCAACCGAAACCTCCTCACGCTGTCTCCGTCACATTCACCCGTGAAGAAGCCCCGCCGTCCATCCTTGCTTCGAAGACGCCGGGGAAGGATTCGCCGCAGGAAACCCCGGACGCCGCTGTGGGCACGGTCGATTTTCTCGTACTCGACGCGTCGCGTTGCATTGGAAGTCCAGGATATGACGGTGTTGAGAGTTGGTCTTTCCGGTATCGTCGCGGCAGGAACAGACGCCGCTCGGGAGTGACGAGTGTCGACTTTGGACATCGGCGGCATGGATTCCGAGCGCAGTGTTGGGGGGCGATCGTTCCCGCTGGCTGGAGGAGCGTGCGAGTATTCATCAGTGTACGGATATTGTGCTGACGGATCGTGATGCCCGGATTTCACCGCGATCAGTTTTACGTCGATCTTTTTGCAGATGCGCCGAATGCTGTCCTGGTCCAGAGCATCTTCAGGGATCATGGATGCATGCCGAGTTGTTGTCCGCGAAGTCGAAACGCTCGGCAGAGGTGTAATTTCTCGACTCAATGCCAACACCCCGTCTAGTGAGGAAAAGAGCTGGCAGCTCTGGCGATGCAACGTCATTGAATCCTTACGAGATCGAGCATGTTTCCTCGCAAGACTGCTTTGTCGCGAGGGGATTGAAACGGAGTTATGCCGCGAGTGTCTGGGGCTGGGACGAGGATGGGTTGCTTTGGATGAGGTGGAAGATTGGGAGCAGACGGTCCTCGATCGGGGTCTCTTGCACACGGATTGACGATGTATCAAAGACTCTGTTGTCATGGTGGTATCCTTCTGAGTAGCAGAGGTCCAGCATTTGGAGCTTCGCTCTGTGACATTCGAAATGGCCGAGTGGAATGACTCGGTGTCTGATACCTCGACGGGGTCGTCACAAGGGGTCGTCATATCGTAATGCAAGCTCATAATTCGTATCGTCGTCATGTCATTCAAAAAGTCCGGGGGCAAAGAATGCAGCGTGGTGTAGCTGGAGTAGAGATCTCTAGGAGGGTCTGGCGTCCCCGAGACGTGGTGTCCGTGATCAGAGAGGCCCTCTGGATTGTGAGCCTTTTTCGACAAAGGAAAGAAAAAATAGCGGATGTAACAGCTCCGTCACCACAGCAAGGGAGCTCGAACAGGTTGAACAGGTATGGATATTAACAAGGACAAGCTCGGCGTCCTCGAGAAGAATGTTCTATATCATTTCTCCTGCCAAAAGACCCCCCGATATCACTCTGTGGGAATTATCAAAAACATTCTTGAAACACCAGAGTATCGCAGAGCAAAGGCAGAGGAGGTAGTATTGGAAACAAACGCAAGGCAAATAAAACCACAAAAAATAAATAGTGACCTCCCAGATTTTTGAGGAAAGGTTAGATCGGCCAGAGGTCATCTGTCCGTCAACGCACCAACAGCCCAAAACTGCACAGCGAATTTTCGGCGGCGTCACCTCCTTTGGAACTGCAATTATTAACACTCTTAGCCGGGCAATCGGCCCATGATTCGCGTGGGACGCTTGTGCGAGTCCAAGCCTCGAAGGTGGGGGAGTGAGTAGGAGTTTGCCGCCTTGCTCGAGGTTGTGCTTGCTCTGGCTTGGAGGACTGGATGAGACGATGGGCGCGGGTTCTCGTTTTGAGACTCTAGAGGGGCAACGAACGGACCAAGTGGGCGCTTGTGGGCGGTTGATGATGCATGGGAAGTTAACGGGGAGCGAGAGTGGCAGTGGGAGGAGGAGGAGGAGCCCAAGTCGGCAGAGATGTCCGACATGGTAGTCGCAATTGGTAATTGGCAATTCGAATGGGTGAAGGGAAAAGGGATTCAAAAATTGCCTAGGCACATATTGGCGCATACTACTCGGCACCACCAAGAAAATGGGGACCATGTGATGAAACATGGGCAATAAAGTCAAGCAATGGTGAAAGGGCACAAGATCGGTGGTGGTGGTAGTACAGCAATAGTAGCGGTGAGGTTGAACTAATTCCCTAGTAGAGCATAGATCGGTCATTGCTGGTCAAGGACTCGGCATGGTGTGCACAGGCCTCTGCACACCGCCTGTGCCACCCTCTTGCTCCATCCACATTCACATTCACATTCACATTCACATCCACATCCACATCCACACACTCCTCACTGGCCACACACACACACACACACACACACACACACACACACACACACACACACACACACACACACACACACACACACACACACACACACAGACGCACACAACCCGCTCCTCTCACCGCGCGTGCGATTTGTGCTGCCATTTCTCCCATGCCTGCCTCACTGACGGCACCGCGACCACCATCGACACCAGTGTGGCAGCTGACCCACACGCCATCGGCACCAGGTGACTGACCTTGCAGCCTTGCAGGTACGATCTCAGGATCCCCGGCACCTGATTCTTCCCAAACAGCCTCCGGATCTCTGTCACACCCGTATTGACAATCATCTCTGGCTTCACCTGCGGGACATGATGCCCCAGGGCTGAGACGAGCCCGTTGGTGAAAGCAGCCTCGGTCGCGGCGATAAAGATGGAGGTGCCAACGTTCTCACAGAACAGCGTCAACGAGGTCACAGCCGCCATATCTTCCACGCCCACGGCCGCCTGATTTGCGATCATAGGCACCTGCAAAGCCAGACCCACGCCCATGCCGGTCAGGATCTCGAAGCCTATCCACGACCCGAGACCGGCGTCAGCGTCCAGAGTGTGAACCATGACTACACCAACCGTGCCTGCTACAGCACCAATCACAAGGAAAGGCGTGTAGTGCCGCCAGAAGGTCAGCAGCCCGTTGGCCACCATGGTGCACGCAGACACGGCCAGGATCAAAGGTATCAGACGAAGCCCACTCTCTGACGCGGATGCATCGCCGACCGATTGGAACTGGATAGGCAACGCAAACGAGAGCGGGAAAAACAGGCCGGCGATAAACACCTGGTACACGAGGCTGAGGGCAATCGGTCTTTTCTTCAATAGATGTGACTGGATCATGGCTCGACTGCCCATTTGCCACTCGTTGATGGTGAAAATGATGACGAGAGCTACAAAGCCTGCCAGGCTGGTGATGACGCGCCAGTTGCTCCACGGGGACGAGACTCCTCCTTTCTCCAGTGCAAGCACGAGGCAGGCCAGTGAACCTGTTCACAACCCGGGTATTAGTTTTCTCGAGGGCCGTCGGCTCGAGCAAAAGACAGAACTTACCCAAGACAAGGAGGCTGCCGGCCACATCTAACGAGAACAGTTTTTCCCTTAGAGAGACTCGCATTGACTCAAGCATCGACGGCATCTTGACGGTGAGAGCCGTGGTAGCTGCCGCCAAAGCGCCGACGGGTAAGCTGATCCTAAGAGCAGCATCAGTGTTGCCGGCTCAGAATATGTGACGGCACTCACCAGAAGCACCATCTCCAGCCCGGGCCGTCCGTGAGCACCCCGCCCAAGAGAGGCCCGACAACACTCGCGCAGCCAAATGTGACTCCCAAGACCCCCATATATGCAGCTCTATACTGCGGTTTCGCACTGAAGGCGATAATGATAAATGCTCCTGTCATGGCTCCTCCACCGCCCATTCCAGCAATGACCCTGCCCAAGATTAGAATTGAGCTGCTGGGAGCCATGGCACATATGACGTTTCCAAGCTCGAAGATGAAGACTGTGAGCAAGAACGTCCATTTAAACGGGAAGTACTTGTACTGCTCATCATTTTGGGGTGACCAGTCAGTTTTACATTCGCGTCCGGCCTGCGGTGCAACTCGAGTTCGATTGCCCACTTACCGCCTTTCCCCATGTTGATTGAAACGCAGCATTCGCGATTGTGTAGGCCGATCCGTACCAGCCCACGTCCTTGACGGTTCCGAATTGATCTGTGATTCTGGGTATGGCTGTCGAGATGATGGACGTGTCCAGTGCGGACAGGAATATAGTAAATACCAGTCCAATGGTCAAGAGGACAAACCGCAGCCCGGCGGGATAGTCATGATCCCGCTGCTGGCGAGGCGCGTCTCCAACCTGACTCTCATCCACAACGGGCGTTGGTCGCTGAAGCTCGAGACCGTCGCTGCCAGCCATGCCGCTCTGAGATACCGAAGAGACTGACAGCTTTGGAGTCGAGCAACAAGACACGAAGTTTTGGATCCATCAGCCGAAGTCGATATATGGTGAGTCACGGTCTCCCACTGCACGTCCCATTGGACGGCCGAGAAGCGAGAAGTCTGACACCGACTAAAATCTGATCGAAAGCGAAACGCTGATTGCCCTGATGTTGGCGTTCGGCACCCCGGCCACAGGTGCACTGGTCATCAACAGTGAGTGGCCAATGTTGTGCTGTATTCATCTCTACCAATGCACATGACACGTTCGAGACTACTCTTCAATCATTTATACCAGGTTTGGGTTCTCAGGCTCTACGGTGCTCTTGTACGAGGTATCAAGCTGGCTTCAACATGCTCGGCTTCGGATGTGGTGTCATTGGCATATTCACTTCCCTCGCAGCCAGCGGGTCGTCCGGGGACTTGTTTGGTGAGCTTCTGCTGGAACGTTGACGCTGCGTGGGTGACCAATTTCCCAGTTGGGCCGGGCCAAAACAAAAACGCCTTGCGAGCTGCTGTTGCCGTGCCATATGGTATGTGTCATTTGGCTTCTCGGGAATACGATGGTGATAACCGATTCTGGCTCTTCAGGCATATGCCTAGCTCTGTCTCGACGAGGTTCAATGGGTCTATTACGCAGAGCTCTTCCCCAATCATCTCCATGCAAACGGGATGGCCTTTTCGTTGGTGACCGTGGCTCTGGTCGACCTGTTGTGGCTAGAAGTGGTCCCAACAGCCTTTGAGTAAGTCTCGTTTGTCACAGATAGCTTTCCTCCTGGTTCTGACGATCATATTATGAATATCGGCTGGAGGTTCTACCTATGCTTCATCATTCTGTCCTTGCTGTTTGCCATTATTTGTTTCTGCTTTTTCCCCAACTCTCGGGGCTTAGCCATCGAAGAGATGGCTGTGCTGTTTGGGGATGACGCCGAGGTTTACCAGATAGCCACGCCTGAAGACAGATCCGAAGCGGTGGCCAAGGATGGTGGTGCCTTTGTGGAGGATATCAAGAATGCTTAATGTAACTCGGACACATCTTAGTGTGAACCCTCGGGAGATGTATTCTACCCAAGAGATATGGGAGAAGTGCACGTCGGCGAGATTAGTATGCAGTGGAGATGTGGTCTCTATCGGCGTGCTTTTGCACATACGTACAAGGTCCAGCCGTTCTCAATGAAACGAATCGTTGCCATTCCTGTGTTGCGTTGGGTACCTTAATAACCTTAGTATACGCAGGTCTGTGCTCAGGGTATCGTTAGGCTCCCCGAGTGTGAGACAGTGCCCCCAGAGCACCCCAGAGCAACCCTCAGGATCATCATGGTCTCCGGCTGGGATCGCTGGGTTAATGTTGGGCACCTGCAGGCTTCAGCGCCACAACTAATAATCGCCCAGAGCCGCTTACCTTCGGGGTTCTCCCGCATATCCCCTGTTGCCTTCAATCAACCAGCGAGCCAGGCTAGTAGCCTCTACGTTGCCTGCGTTGAGCCTGTACTCCGTACGAGGTAATACAGATGTCCCCATCCATCTCTCAAGGACTTATCTCTTTCTGTCACAGAGCTTGCTAGCATTTCCCCAAGGACGACAAGTTCTAGGCCCGCTCGCCTTTCGCGACCGTTCGCCTATATTCCTCTCGTTGGAAGAGGATATATCTCAGAGATGCAGACAATCGGCAAGCAGGATGGCTGTGGCGCCAGCTCAGATCTCGCTCGATGCCTGGGTTCCAACGACACACATCTGACGCCTCAATCAGGCATCTTTCGGCGTCGCCATAGCGGTCTTGGCGGCCTTGGTGGCGGCGAGGCGGTCTCGTCCTCGCTCTCGCTCCGGCTGTGGAATTTGTGAGCAGCGAAAAGTTCAGTGCGACGAGGACTACCTACGGACATTGCACCAGGATGGAACTGCATTGTTACTACAAGCCGCCACCGCGTAGGTCTAGAACAACTACTTCTAGCTCCAAGAGACCTTCCCGTCCAACTGACTCGACAAATCCGAATCATCCTTCGTATCAAGCGTTACAGGCTGTTGGGGATACCGCAGATGAATCTTTGACAAGGATGGGCAGCTCCGAGGACTGCACTGATGAGGTACTGAGTCCAGTCGAGTAGCTCAACTTCCCATATTAGTCCAATAGCAAAGCCTCCGCCCTTCTTGATCTACTGGGAGACTTTTCCACCTCGACAGCAGGCAATCTCTCTTTGCCTCTTCCCTGAAGCTGAAGACTCATCAACCTCATCCGTGTCAGCAAACCCAAATAGAACCGGTGTCGATTCTGCGATTGACAATACAATTAATCGAGGCACATGGCACAACGAGAGTAGTGGTCTTTCCGCGGCCCAAACGATTGATAGTGGACCACCGGGGATTGGTGGAGTGACAGAACCTGCACTTCCCGTGCGAATGGGGCAGCTTCAAGGACTTAATGCTTCACCTCGGCCGAATCCCGATAGCTCTATCTGCTTTGAAAGTAGTCGGGGCGTTTGAGAGAGTATTTTTCTGAAAATGACTCCGCGTCCAGCCGCGATGCTTATGGGAGCGTCCTGACTGAGTGTTTGGATAGCAAAGCAACTTACCTCCAAGGCGAGCATCTGCTTTCTCCGAGGGCCCTGGAGGCTGTCAGTCACTATCCCGTACAGATCACGTCGTCAAATACACGGGAGAATTTCAACGCAAGACGAGAAGGGAAGGGCGACTCTGATGGCTTACCAGTTGATTCGTCACCAGAAGGTGATTGCCATCTTGGCCCTCGACGATCCCATCATCCAGTAATTTACAAAGCCTGAGCGAAAATAATACAGGTCAAGCAAGCTTCCAGCGACGCGGTACTGGAACCAGCCCTCCAATAGCATTTAACTTCTCAGACCTCCTGGCGACGAACCGGCGCTTACCGCATACACCATCGTAGTCGAGACTCTATTGAAGATAAGTACGAAGTTATCACGGCGTGCAAGCAGGTTGATCGAGCTATTCGTGCTATGGCATTTTCGCCTAGCTATCATCTCTACGATAGCAGAAGAACCTGGGCTCATAGTTTCGTCCGATTATGCCTCTAGATTCGAAGAGATATCTGGCGTCTAACTCGCCTGCTTCTGGATCCTGTTCGTGCATATGCACCGCATGAGTCGGTGAAATCTGCCGCACTCCGAACTTGTCCGTCGGACGCTGGCAGAAGTCTGGCGACAGCTGCTACCAGCCTACGGAGAGGACGTGATGGTGGCCGGCACACCGAAGAAAATCTCATATGGCTTTGATTCATGTTAAAAGGAAGTCCCGGACAGATTGCAACAGAAGTGGGCGATCGAGCAACTCGAAGCTCTTGGGGAAGCGAGACCCACGGTCAAGGCCAAGGATCCTCATTTGGATATTTCCACTTGGCTCCAGCTCTGGACCCGTGAGGAATGCGAAGAGAGCTGCCTTATTACTTGCCAAGATGACGGAGGTGCAAAGTAGACTCAAGGCACGCACGAATATCAGGGAGATCTCCTCGATCACGGCCTCGAGGTATAGGTTGGGCGTCTTGACGATTTCGTCGAGTGTTAATTGGCGGTCTTCGTGGGCAGCGTCGCCAAAGGCGCTTTGCATTCTGTCTCGCAGCTTGTCTTTGGACGCCAGGAACGTCCGCTAGGTACAGTAACCCCCATGCAAAGCTGTTCGGAGTCGTGTCGTGACAACCAATGATGTAGCCAAATAAATAGAAAAATAACGGCGGTTCGCCAGCATTGTTTGACCCAATGGCCGCGTGAAATACGATGAGCCATGTGAATTCTCCGACACCGTCTACATACGTCATTATACATGCACCGTGCGTGGAAATCTAGTTATCGATTCATCTTCCATGCTGCGGTGCGCTCTCGTAAGATCAGATATTCTACTCCAGTCTTAGCGCTCTTTTGAGCCTCTTCATCTGTCGGTGGGAGGTTGGCGAACGCTGCATCGATCTGCCGTTTGGTTGTCTTTTTCTTGATCTTCACGGCGGACCGAGTGAGGTCGAAGGAGCAGCCAGGTGTGCCGTTAGGAGGTGGCCGAAGTGTATCCGACGCTGATACTTTCGGTGAGCTCCACCATTGCCCGACCCTCGGCGTCCACTGAAATGTCAGGGAAGGGGGAAGGGTCGTGGCTCTGGCTCTGGCTGCTCATCAATAATGATACCTCGGTTGCTCGGAAAGGCTTGCGTTGAGCTGCATTCTGGTGCAGCTTAACTGATCGCTGAGACCGAAGGAGATTGTAATGATGATATCGTACGCTAACTTGTAGAGGTCATTTTTGACATCGAAAGGCCTCCGCTGAGCAATAGCCGATTTCGCCTTCCACAGATTCACCAGGTTCATAGCCTTTTGATAGATTTCAGGACTGTTGACCTCGGCTTGGACTTGGCCAAAAAAAAGACTTACAAAAATTCAAAATGCTCCGACAGTTCAAGAATAGACCCAAAGGGCTTGAGAGTTGTGGGAGCACCAGGTCCTTCATCAACTCTTTGTGAAACTTGAATTTGGGCATGGGAGTCTTGATCGAGAGGAAGCGCTGTGGGAGAAGCGGACCGAATGCATTGGGCTCCTTGAAACCACGGTCAAACTCTTTGTGGCGCCAGAGGACGGTGGTCGCCCAACAGAACTTCGGAGTTTTTTTTGGGATATACAAACACCTATACGATGGGAGAGTTCGACTTCTGGAACTGTGCCTGGAACCAGCCGTCGCATCTCTCCATCCGTGGCCTTCTGCCACTGTGTGAGGGGTGGCATGTCCCCGAAAAGGTTGTTGGTGGCTCTCAACATTGCATGGGATACCAGGCAGGGGCTTTGGATACAGCCACCTCTATAAGACTGCAACCAACAGGTCCAAAAGCGGACAAGCCAGAGTGACGTGTTTCATGGCAGACCCAGTTCCCCTATCCCCATCAATGATCTTCGTAACGTATGAGTTGAATTTATTCGCATGCGAATAGAGAGTTGCGGAGCAAGAGTGTATTGAAATGAGGTTGATGAGGAGCCGAGATTATAATAGTTGATATCGATGACACGAAATGGAGCTGAGGTTTACCGCAACTCAGTCATCAATAGCTTCAGACAGAAGGCGGGCTATGGGGTCTTCATCTCTACAGATATTGATAGTTTCGTACCTCGATATTTGCTTTGATTGACATGACAGGAATGGATTTGACCCTACTTGGTACAGAAATACACCTACCTACCTACCCAGCCGTGAATGATCGAATCTCGACACCCGAGCTCGCAAGTCTCGCGTCTCGCGTCGTCTATCGATTAATCATTTCCGGCTGTTTGTACAGTACCAAGTGCTAAATTGGAGACCTTGAGCTCATGGAGTCGCACTATTATTGGCCGTGGGCACCGGAAGCCCCACAAACCCTTCAAGGCTCGTTGACAGGAAACCTATGATCATCCAGCTTTCCGGAACTCCACTCCGATCACATCAGTTATCCAGCCTTGCCAGGACGAACATATTAACCGATACAGTGGAGGGCCAGGAAAACTCTGTAGAAGCCTAGAAAGAAGAGCAAATTTGATGAGATCGGATACTCCAGAGTCCTCTATTTGTCTGTCTACCTCCATGAAGTATCCAAACTGGGGTCGTTTCCAAACTGCTCGGAGTTGCTGCTTACCCACTCATCCACATCAATAAAACGCTCCACCCAGACTCCCGGTATAAACTATATACTAGAATCTCGCCATAGCAGCCTTTTTTTTCCTCGGTTGTTTCCTGGAGGAAGGGGTGGAACAGCCAAGAAAAGATAACCTTCATCTGCAACAGTCGAGTCGCTTTTTTTCTTCATCCGCGCCACGAATTCCTCAACACTCAAAATGTCCCTATGATTGCCGTCCGCTGCGCGTAGCCCACTTAAGAGATCAAGCTGGTAATAAGCGTCGATATTGCGCCACTCGAAGGGAGGATCATAGGGTCAGATATGGCCGCTACTCAACTGCCGGCTAGAGAAAGATAGCGGATGCCATAGTTTCGCAGAAGATCAAGTGTCTCTTTAGGCAACAGTGTTCCCGGCGGATGGAACCCATGATAACGAAGATCAAGTTTGCCGATGTTGGCCTGCGACTTTTCCAACAAGTGGTGTGCAGACTCGAGGTCTAGTTTGGTCGAATTCTCGTGCTGGAATCCATGCCGGCCGTCCTCATGGCCTCGGGCCGCTAGATCCTGACTCCCCCTTGGGTAATAGTCCGCGTTCTAAGCTTCGACGAAATATGTTGCTTCGATCTCGTGCTGGTCAAGGATATTGAGCATCTGTGGGAGCTGAGCTTTCTCTGCAGGATGTTCCCCGAGAGACGTCTCCATATGTCAGACGTTGGAAAGAGCTCCTGGTCTCCCTCCATGTTGTCCATTTTGATACTGAATGCTGCTCTGGCGCCGTCGTGCCATTGAGTCGGAATCGACTGCATAGAAGTCATGGTAACTTCCACTGCACGGTATTATGCAGCTTAGGAGTGATGGGAGCGATGCTGTTTTTTTTCTTTTGCCAACAAAATAAGCAGGCTCCTGATCATTTTGATGCCAAGATAAACTTGAAAGTTGTAACCGTTTGATTCAAAAAGGAACATTGCAAATCTTTGTCCATCTAGATGTCCTGAAATGAACATACTATTAGGTATTATAGCTATGTTAGACTCGGTCCTCGCGTAGTTCGCGTGTTGTGTCTCGAATTTAAGCTCCCGTGCACCTTTGAAAGAGAAGACGCTGGGAAGGTGCCAGGTTTTATTTGAATGGTAAGTGAATCAGCATTTCATCTGTTTACTGCATGGTGACGCTATTTGCAATGAAACTTGCAAATCTGATTCTCGCTCTGTAGATCAAAATTTTGTTGTTTGACTCCCGGCCTTCTCGCCCTACTTCAAGGATTTTCTGACCAGGTAGAGCTCTTTCCCTGCCTCCAAGGAGGGTGTTAGATAACCTGTACGATGCAGAACTTTACACGCCTCGTTCGCTTCGAGGATGAAAATGGCCAGATCCATTATGGCGAAGCTGGCGATCACTGGGAGGAAGGTCTTCAGGCTCACACGCTGCCAACATCAACGGAGACGCTCCGGTGGGAAGTCTGGAATTGGGTGTTTGAGGGAGCGGTTGTCGAGTAACCAAGGGATGAAGGGAGAACCACTTACGCCTAACCTTGTTGACAAACGGGGCCAAACCGTCCTGTGAATCACCTTCCTGGGCGACAGAAACCCCGACAAGTCATACTAGGATACTCCATTAGCTAATAAATCAATTCGCGCCCCTCTGACACTTTTAAGAGTAGCATTGAAGCGCAAGAGTGTCGTCAAGACTCGATCAGCTACTGTTAGGGACATTTTCGCAATATAGCTGTTTGTATCTCACTTGCGCAGCCCTGCATGAAACAGGGGTAAACGTTTTGGCGAATATGGAATAGCGTCACGCTGCCCTAACCTCTCCGCCTGGTCCGCCCAATCTGGTCTTGGCAGATGGAGGGCGGAATTTTATGTAGCTGCCTCGCCGCCCACTGCAAGTTCCGGCTTAGTTGTTCCTCTTCCTCACTCTGCTTAGTGTACATTCTCATGTCTTTTGGCTTGGAGGAGAGCGAGAACCGCCAGCGAATCAAATAATCAGCCCAACTTCCACCTTGTCCTGTCCACCTACTCACATGACTATACAGATTTCGAAGGGACGGGTCAGGAGTGGTCGGTTATTATTTTCAATATCGTTCAAAGACCATGAACAAACTAGCTGACACGAAAGAGCGTAGGGTGCCTGACCTGCCGCGGCAGAAAGGTGAAATGCGACGAGGAAAAGCCAAAATGTCATAATGTAAGAGCAAATGGATACTGCAGTTGTGATCTTGACGCCGTTGCGGGATTGACTGACCTCTCCAGTAGTGTCAGAGACTCAACCGAATATGCGCCTATGAGCCGCCTCCTCCTCGTAAAAAAAGCGCACCTAACAAGGGTCGTTCAAGGATCAATCATGGGGTGGTACTCTCTTTTGATGTCTTGTCGTCCACATCCCAAGACCCTATGCCCGCATTCGATGGGACCTCAATCTCTCCATTCGACACTGACAATGCTTGGTCCCAATCCGCTTTGGATGTTGCTCCTCGAGGACGCCTAGACCAGAGCATTGAATTTCCTACCCCCGACCAAAACCTGGACCCTTTTTTTGCACCGGAGCCTGGTACCGAGTCTCCCTCGTCGGGGCTTCGCGACGGTTACCGCAACATCCAACAGAACAATGTCCCTGGGTCCAGCTCGACGGTCATCGCAGACCAAGATTCATTTTCTTACTTTCTAGAGAAAGTGGAATTTCCGTTTATCTCGCCATTCGATGGAGGAAACTGGACACTCACGAAGCGCTACATGGCCAAGTTGAGCCTTCGAAGCACCGCCGTAACTACTGCAATATCTGCTGTCGAGGCACTCTATGAAGCCGAAGAACATGGGCAGGAGACGACCAATGCAATAGCACTGTACTACCTTGCCAAAGCAGAACTTGCCAGAATGCTACGCTTGCCTCTGCCAGATCTTGAGTTGACATTCGTCGCCATTTCTTTGTTGTCATGCTTTGAGGCCGTTTCTCAAGAAGATACCGTCCCTATTACGATGAAGGGCGAAGGCCCATTTATAATCAAGCTCGAGCGTTGGATTCAGGAGCGACCCTGGCCCCCTCTCGTTTGCCGCATTGAGGCATGGCTGAAACTATTGCACGTCCGGGCTTTGCATCTTGGTGGAGGGGGTTTTTTGTCAGCAAAAGTCAGCCATCTTCTTTCCCACGAGACGGTCCCGGTGCCCAGTCTCATTTTTCTTGACCAAGAACCTCCTCCGTCATCAATCCTTTACGACAGTCTTACGTCTCCTCTTTTCGAATTTTATATCCAGACACAGCAGATAGGGACTGCAATCTGCAGTATGAATCGCCATCACCGCTCACGAGGGACTCTGACGGACGAAAATGAAGTTGACCATACGGCGTCGAGGATTCGGAAGCAACTGCTTTTGTTGCATCAACAGGCACCGAGTCTTCTACGGCTGAGCCGAGAAGAGCTCCAGTCTGTCGTTCCTGAGTCATTACTTGATCAGTTGTCAATGCTTATAGACCTGTGCAACGCTGCGTATCAGATTGAGATTGTCGATCTCGGAAGGGCACATGGCAAGTGGCTCACTCCGACACGAGAGGCTCAGGAAGCGATGCAGCAAGTGCGTCGGATTGTCGATGAGAATGTCTCGCGGAATAACGACACTGTCAATCCGGGATTCATATGGCCTATCTTCTTCTATGCTCTTGAAGCAGATCGAGAGGGAGGTACCTGGGCTGTCCAAATGCTTCAACGGGTCCGGAAGCCCACATATCATACTGACTTCATGGCGCGCTTTCTGGATGGCGTTCTTGAGCTGCAGCGGCGAATCGTTGAACGGGTTGATTGCCGTTATTTCTGCACCCAGAAATTTGGCATTGCTCCACCGTACATATGATAAACAGTCGCGACTAGAAGGCACGGAACCTCTTTGGGCGACAGGAACTACCCT